GAGGACAGCCTGGTCTCCAAAGCGAGTTCCAGGAAAGGTGCAAAGCTACACAGAGAAACCCTGTCTCAAAAAAAAAAAAAAAAAAAAAAAAATCTTTTGGGGGTGGGGGTGGGGGAGGCAGAATGAGATTTAAGGTAGTGGTTGTGTTTGGGGGGGCAGTGAGTAATAGTATGTTGTCTGGATCTTTCGATAGCTATAGGAAGAGTTTTGTTTTTTTTCATTTAGAAGTATATCAGGGCCAGGTGGTGATGGCAGCACTCCCCTTTAATCCCAGCATTTGGGAGGCAGAAGCAGGCAGATCTCTGGTCTTTATAGCGAGTTCCAGGACAGCCAGAGCTACACAGAGAAACCGTGTCTTGAAAAACCTTAAAAAAAAAACACCCTGAAGTATGTCATATCAGCTGGGGAATGATCTGGTGCTCTGATAGGTGGGCTCTGTCACCTTAGTACATACAGAGGACAGATTATAGATCAGTGGGTTTTGTTCCTGTTGTTTTGTTTTTGGTGGTGCTCTGGATCCCAGTCTCTAATTTTCTGGCCATTGCTCTCTGTTAGCGGTAAAATCTACACACAGATGTCCCCCAGAATAATTAATATGATTGCCCTACTCCCACTGAAAATGCGGTTGAAGACAAAAGCACTTCCTAAATGCTTGTTGGAGAGTTAGACTGGACACAGACACACAGTAGTTGGTATTGTCACCTTAGAATCTGCACCAAATGTATTTATTTTATTGAATTAATGCTTAGATAGTACTTACCTTATGCCAGTACTATATTTAAGTGCTTTATGAATACTAACACTTATTCCCCATAACCATCTTAGAAGTTGGTACTATTTTATCTTCACAGGTGACACTGAGTTGTAAATCTCACCTCAGTTGAAGCACTGTTGATGCTTCGGATCTCATGTTCACTCACCTACAGATGTATTTCCTCAGTGTAAATGATTTGTGTAAATGATTTGCACAAAGTCCCTCCCCCAGTAAGGCAGGCATCTTGGCTCCTGAGGTCCTCTCCTGGAAGTCAGGCATCTGAATTCATAGTTTCTCTTTTTAGCCCTGGTGTTGGTTAGTATTGCACTTGCCTGTGTGTGATGGAGATTTTAAAATAATAATGACAAAAAAAGTCTTATTAGTCTCAAATATAAAGGAAGTCTATAGACTTCCCAGCACCAGGATGACTTTCACTTCAAGTCCAGATTTAGCTGTCGTTAGCATGTGGCCTACACTGCATCTTCTAAGATGGCTATTCCGGCTTACTTGCTTGTTAGCCTTTGGAAGAAGGGAGAGAAAGAATGTGTCTCCACCCTCTTGGACCCGTCCTAGAGGTTGCACCAGATTTTTCTGCCTACATCCTATTGTCCAGAACATAGTTGTAGTACTTAGTGCCTGGGAGTTGTAGTTTTTATCTTGCCTACACGATAAATTAGATGTCTTATGTCAGGCAGAAGGGGGAAACAGGAGGAACCAGTAGTGTGTGTGATACTATTTTGGGAACAGTCTGAAATATTCTTTTTTAATATTTTAAAGTTAATTTTTTGTTGTTTGTTTTTGAGACAAGATTTCACTATGTAGCCCTGGCTGGCTTGAAGCTCACTATGTTGACCTGGCCTTGTTATGGCTGGAATTAAAGGTGTACAGCACCATGCCCAGTCTGTTTTAACCTTTATTTATTTTATTATGAGTGTGTCTGCAGGTTTGTATGCCACTTGTATGTGGGTGCCCAAGGAGGTCAGAAGTGTTGGATCCCTTGGCACTAGGGCTGCAGGCAGTTGGGAGCCATCTGATGTAGGTGATGCAAATTGTTCTCAGGCACTCTAGAAGAGCAGCAGCAAGTATTCCATCTCATTCTGGAAGATGCTTGACTATGACTTGACTATGACAGCCTTAATTCCACTTCTCAGTTTGTGGTAGTTTCTGCCACACGATAATTAAGTAAGGACCTGGAACAGTAAAATGGAAAATGCTAGATTAGAAGTTGTCATGGTGATGTGTGCTCACATTACCCCTCCTCAGTTACATTGTTGGTGCTTCGGATCTCATGTTCATTCAACTACAGATGTATTTCCTTAGAATTGACTCTTTTATGATCTTCATATTCCCAGGAATTGCAGAACATGTGATCTAACTAGTTTAAGACAATTAATGAGCCAGGCATGGTGGTGCAGGCCTATAAACTCCAGCCCTCAGGAGGCAGAGGCAAGTGGAGCTCTGCAAATTTGAGGTCAGCCTGATTTACATAGTGCCTTCCAGGCCAGCCAGACCCTGTCACCAGAGAGAGAGAGAGAGAGAGACAGAGAGAGAGAGAGAGAGAGAGAGAGAGAGAGAGAGAGAGGTGGAGGTGGAGGAGGGGGAGCGGGGGAGAGGAATTAAGTGAGATGTCACACATGAAAGCCCCTTAGCAGGTACATAGTCAAGAGTTTTTTCCATTTTGCCCTTTTGTTTTTTGTTTCTCTTTTAAAACAGGGTCTCGGGTAGCCCAGGCTGACCTCAGTCTAGCTATTTGGTACTCTTGATTCTCCTGCCTGTACCTCCTGAATTCCTGGGATTACAGGCATGTTCCATCATGACTGGCTTCATTTTGCCCTCTTTTACAGTTATATACCTATTGACCTCTGTATTAGGCTTTCTTGGATACATGGTGTTGTGTAAAGGCAGAAGTAGTATAATTTTGAGAGGACATTTTCATAACCACTGAGAATAGCAATTCATTAATTAATGCTCTTTAGTCTTTGTATAAAATTACCAATTGCAGTGTCTGCAGGGATATCCATCCACATATTCTAGGAACTTTATATCCTATCAGTGATTTCAACCATATATATATATATATATATATATATATATATATATATATATATATATGTGTGTATTTATTTGATTTTTTTTTTTTTTTTGAGACAGGTTCTCACTGTAGCCTTACCAGACCTGAAATTTTGTGGACCCAGACTGGCCTTTAACTCAGAGATCCATCTCCCTCTGCCTTGTGAGTGCTGGGATTAAAGGTCTTCACTACTACTCTAGCTTGTTTTAATTTTATTTTTTTAAGGCAGGGGCCTACTGTGTAGACCTGGCTGGCCTGGAACTCATAGTGACTGCCCACCTCTGCCTCCTGAGTGGTGAGATTAAAAGGTTTTCTTATTTGTATGTACAGAAGAAGAGCATTCAATATGTGAATATTTGAAAAACAGCAAAAGACGTCATTTTTGTGAGAAAATGTTGATGTATGTGAAATTGGGACCAGTCAGATGAC